TATCCTGTGGAGGATATTTGTTTTTTAGTAGAAAAATATAAAGTAAGAGAATTTGATTAAGTCTATACAGAGTGTTAGCTATATATGTGTTGCACTATGAGAAAAGAAAATAAATAAAAAAATGATGCAGGCTTGATGTCAAAGCTAAGTATGTTGTCCACAACTTGAAACTTAGAACTTCCTACACACGCATGAATAAACCCATTTAACACGTAGTGATATATATGACATCATTTTTTTGTCATTATTATCTTATTTTACACTATGTAGTATGTGTTCTTGTGAGGATTTTTGAGATAGAATGGTGGAAGAGAAACTCACTGCAATTTGCCAAGTTATACATGACTGGCTTTGGTATTAAGTTTGTATTTGATGGTGAATTTTCACCTATATTTAGATATTTGCCACAATTATGTGAATGCCAAACTAGAAAAATATTTGAAACGAAATGTACTAGTCTTAATCGAAAATAATTGACATAATCAGAAGTTTTTTCACGCCACACATATTAATAGTAGTAAATCGTGTGTAAATGTTCAAATGCAAATAAATTATTATGCATTATATGTGTGTATATAATATTCAAAGTTATAAGTTATAATATCCTATCACATTTTAAGATATTAAAAACTAGGCAAAATGAGTAATATAAATATAAATTGCATAGCTTACATATGAATCACTATGCCATAAATTGTAATAAATAATATAATTTTTACAACTTTAAGAGAACGTGACTAACTAATTGATTGTAAATTATCATTATTGTTGTTGTTGTTGTTGGTATTGTATATCTGTTGAAAATTTATTGAACTGAAAAATATTGGGGTAAAAGTCAAGAGTCCAACAATTATTGTAATTGGAAAATGAGTTGAATCATGTTGAAAATTTGAATTTCTAAAATAAAAATTGTCTTTCCAAATGAAAAAAATTAAAAGATGATTATAGATAGGTATGACGTTGCAATTCATTAATCTATATATATATATAATAAGAATTATTATTTACCAAAAATAGTAGCAAAAAAATAGGTCAGAATTTAATGCAGCATATAAATAGTAAGTTTATTATTTTCTTATTTTATTCCTTAAAAATCATACAGTATTAAATGCTACCTTAAATTTCGGACATTAATTTTATTATTTTTATTAAGTGTGTATGTTTTTATTAAGTGTGTATGTTTTTATTTTTATTTATTTCTTAGAAACAACGAACAAGATTAAAATCTCAGTCTCTATATTTATAAAATCTCAATTCAAGATATAACAAAAGTTTTAGAATCTCGGTCTTTATATTTGTGTCTTTAAAAGAATATTGAACGCTAAAAATATTCTTTAAATTGCATAATAAATTAATTAATCTTCATTTTTTGAAAATTACTATGTTTATTTTTTATTAATATGCATAAAGTAAAAATAATTAATATATCTTTAGATATATAATTTATAATCTTAATATACTATCATTTGGTGTAGACATTTATTATATAAATCATAAAATATTTTTATTTCATAAAATTAAATATATTTAAAGAAAATAAAAAATTTTCTTCGAATCGATTGGTGATTGAATAAGGGTAGCTGCCTAGGTTGATTGAATTACTTCTAGGTGATATTTAAAATAGTCACAAAACTTGGTTGGTCCCAGATGATTAAGTTATGTATCAGTTCAACCACACCAAATTGATTATTGAACCTAAATATAAATTTTACATTGAAAATATTTTATTACGTGAATGTGATGTAGTCCAAAATTCACATAATCGTATTAACAATACTTTTATGACAACATCTTTAATGATTTATGAATATTTATATATCATTTTATTAATATTTATGTAAATTAAATAATATTTTATTATAATATTTATTAATATACAGTAAATATAAAGTTTTCAGAACTGGACCGTCATTGAAATGATCAAGCTATTTTATTAAATCATTTGTGGTTTGTTCAGATTTTAATTTATAAACATTTTAATAGATACACACATATATATATAGTACTTTTTGTAATAAATTTAAATAAAATGTGTTACTTAGATATCTAAATAATTTATAAATTTAAGTGTTTAAATTAATTGATAAATAATTTTTAAATCTCTATTTTATTTAAATATGTAATTTTATTTAAAATAATTTTAAATATAACAAAATTTATTTAAAAAATTGTATCGATCCTACCAGTCCAACCGGCTGGTGTTGACGGATTTGAGAGCAAATATTTTATTCAAGCGAACTAGACTGATTATAAACTGGTTCTCGGTCCATCTGATCGGACTGTGTCCAACCCGGTTTAATTTAAAAACAATGGATAAATCATGATTAATGTTATTTATATATTTAATTTTATAATACAATCGTAATATTGTTTCCCGTGCATCGCACGGGCCACGCACTAGTTATAATAAAAATAAAAATATAATTATTATATATATGTAACCGAAAAAGGTGGAAAAAGGAAAAGNAATTGTGTCTACAATCATATATATACACCAAACAAATTGCTTGGATCATTTGTTTATACTATTTTTTATTTTAATACACAAGTAGCTCAAAACCTTATTTATAATAACATAAAAAATTGCAGACATTTCGAGTATATATCATAATTAGTACTAGTATGTGATTATGGTGAATTGATAAGTTAATAATCATGCCTATCCTACAATACAATGAGAGCCAACTTTAATAGGGAATAACTGCATCATCATGAAATGTTATAACGCTTCACCAATGCGCTTCTTTATTTATGGTTCTTTAATTATACGGCTAATGAAGATGCATTTTGTACAGTCCATAATTACATATGTTTACACAAAATGTTCCTAAGTGATATGACAAAATTATCTAGGTTGCTCTCTCTAAATTTTATTGCCTATTTATTATCCTTTTAATAGTTATCTCATTCATTTGGTCTCTATTTTTCTTAATTTCCCCTTTTTCTTTTCTTCACAGAAGAAGAAAATAATGTGTTATATGTTGAGATTAGTAAACACCATAGTCTAATCGTAACTTTTATAGCTACTTATTTGAAAATTTTCGAGGTTATCTCATATGTTTAATCATTTAAAAGTTTGGTTTCAATCAACTTGTCATATTTGGACTCGTTGCTTTTATCTTCCTCTACTTTCAAATAAAATATATTCAAAATTCAATTACACTTTATTTATTTATTTTTTGTGTTGCTTATTAATTATAGGAATTTTATTAATCCATATCATGAAATTGAAAGATGAGTAAACTATCAATTCATGGACATAAAATATTTTGAATTTCAAATTGATAAATTTTATCTTTGACTCTGAAATTAATGGATTACCCATATTTCCATACTTGAACTTTAAAATCGATAGTTTCGAGAATTTTTAGTTTCGAATTAATAGAATTTATCTTCTTATATAAAATTAATCTGACTGAGCCTCAAATTGATAAAATATAAATACTTCATAAAATTGAAAAATAATATTAACAAGATTTAAATTAATATTACCAAAAAGAAAAATCTTGACCTATTTTATGCACTATATAAAATTGCCCCGATATACAATTATAGCGAGGTCGTCGGAGCTTATTTCCGATTTTGCCACTTTCGTTTTCAGCCTCTTTCTTTGTCCAGAGCCCAGACACAGAAAACGAAAAGAAAGGCCGCAGAAAAAAAAAAATATATAAGCACAGAAAGAGAAAAAAAGGGGAAAGGAAACCATAAAATCTTCTCTCTCACACACAGCCACACTCATCGTCAACCCCTGCGCCTGGCGCTGTAGTGTACAGTGAAGAAAACCATTAACTCTATATAGCTCGTCTGGTTAATTATTGTACCTCGACCTCGAGTAATTTGCTCGGCATTTTGCAGCGTTGAGAGTAATTTTTGCTGTAGCGAAAGGTAGATCTGAAGTTAAAGTTGCTCCTGTGTTAAATTCTGCTCCTAAGAAGCTTCAACAATCGAGCCTTCATCTGCATTTCGTGCTAATGGTACTTTTTTCGTTTTTTTTCTCTTTCGGAATTGAGGAATTATGTATACTTTATGAATTTAATTTTCTCCGTGGAGTGGAGGAGAAAATTAGTGCTAGCCCAGTTGTCGCTAAATGTTGAAGAATGGAAGGAGTTCAAATTGATCATAATTTTCTGCAGCAGTGTTAGATTGTGATGAAGCAGCTATCAAGTTTATGTTATCCTTGTGCTTTTTTCTTTTCTTGTTCATTTTCTCAGTATATAGAATATGTTTTTGATGCTTTTTTCCTGAAGTTTTAGCTGGAGGGAGTATGTCTGTTGTGTGGTGTTGGTTTTTCAGCTCCGCAGGGCGTGAACCGGTAGAGGAGGATGCAGGGGGTTTTGATGTCGGACATAATTGTTCTTTGTTCTTGATCCTGAAATGGTTTGTTGTGAAATTGCAGGAAATGGAAGGGCTTATGGTCTGAAAAGAACTGCGTGAGGGGAGAAAATGGCGAAATCGTGGCCGCATTTCCCATCTCAAGATGTGTTATCCTCGACACAGGCAGTAAGATCAAAAGAATGGGAGGGCCCAACAAGGTGGACCGAGTACTTGGGCCCGGATATAGGATCCAGGAGTAATGGTGGAGCGGAAGTTGCAGCGAATCAAAGCTCAGGCAGTTCATCCCAGAAGGGTTTGAATATGCAGTGGGTGTACCAGCTCACCCATGTAGCAGAAGGGCTAATGGCAAAAATGTATAGACTTAATCAGATTTTGGATTATCCTGATTTGGTAAATCATATCTACTCAGAGGCATTCTGGAAAGCAGGCCTACTACCAAACCAACCCAAAATTTGTATTTTGCTTGAGAAAAAGTTTCCTGAACACCACAGCAAGTTGCAGCTTGAACGGGTAGCTCTTTTGGACCTATTGAAAAAAAAATATTTGTTTTTTTCTTCTTTAAACTGGGTCTTAGTATCATTGTTCCGTGGATGGCTGCGACAGGTGGATAAGTTTGCACTGGACGTTATGAACGATAATGCTGAGGTTCATTTGCAGAGCTTGGAGCCATGGATTCAGGTGAGACGTTAATATTATTGGCGTGTATCTATGGTCTGTATTGGTGCTTTAACACAAGTATCATTTTCAAGTCAGTTGTGATAGTGGTAATTTACCATACTTATTCTTGCTTGCTGTTCTTTTTCTTTATAATTTTTTGTTTTTTGGGTCAGGAAATGTAATCTATTATGGGTGCTTCTCGTCATGTATAGAATTTTGTTTGTATAAGGCATTTACTAAATCTTAACAAAATATGTTTTCTTAACTTGTTATAATTCGGGTGTCGTAAATAAATTATCTGAGGGAAAGATTTTCTATGAAAATCCCACAACGGTATAAATCTAATGATATGACTTTGTCAGATGGGTGATGAATATTGTTCCCTCAGGCAGTTAGCCTTGCTTTTTGTATGCACCTTGTATGTTCTGCGGATCTAATGACATTTTATTCCATTGTCTGTATCAGCTGCTTCTTGACTTGATGGCATTCCGAGAGCAATCTCTGCGGCTCATATTGGATCTAAGCAGTACCGTGATTACCTTGCTGGTGAGGAATGGAAAAAGGATACTATTTGTTGAGAAGCCAAGGATACACTAGTTCTGTGTTGTTCCATATTGTTTCTGCTGATAGCCTGTAGTTATCTATTTCATACTAAAAGTTGTGAAATTATTTTGTGACGTACTCTTAAGATATACTGTAATACCCATCCAAATGGATCACCATTGCTTTTATCAGCTGAGGCCTTTTAATGTTTCGACCATTTTCTTTGCAGCCCCATCAAAACTCCCTCATACTACATGCCTTTATGGATCTCTTTTGCTCATTTGTGCGGGTCAATTTTTTTTCCGAGAAGGCAAGTTATGGTCACCTATGTTATATTGGTCTATTCCTGTGATAACCTTTCATCTGATTTTTTCCCATTTATGTTAATATACCACAATCATGATAAATAATTGCATTACAGATACCTAGAAAAATGATCCTGCAAACATACAATCTTTTGCACGCTATGGCACGGAATGATCGTGATTGTGACTTTTACCATAGGTGAGACTTCAACTACATTCATATTCATATTATGAATCTCTTGTAGTTTATTATTAGGTTTAACTTAAGCTCTGACCCTTAATATAACTGTCTTTTCGTTATGCTCAATTGGTTTCCAGTTTCCCATGTTGAGCTTCTTTAGGATATGTATTTTTTTAAAAGNCCACCATTGAAGGGGTTGCATGAAGATCTTAATTTTGTCAGTCCTAGGATTGGAGAGGTAACATTGTCTTCTTGGCTGCAATTTATTACTCTGACATTTACCCTCCTATCTATTTTTCTCCAATTCCTAATCAAGTACCTAACTAATGTTTACTTGGCTTCCTTAGCTTTGATGTGACAGAATGTTTTCTATAACTTTTTGCTGGATCATGGGGTGTGTTCATTGTAATATTGCTTGTCAATTTGTTTTATCCCATTTTCATTTTTAATTTATCCCATTTTCATAGGCTGAATCATTTTATACCATAATACACTCTTTTTATACCTGTGGACTGTTACATGCATAACAATGGCCTGCCTTAATCTGAAGCTAATGATGCCATTCAGAGTGACTGCTTGAAATGTTAACAAAAAATAAACAGTAAGATATTGTTTTATTATCTTTATCAGGTAGGAGTGCATATTACTTATCTCTATCATAAATCCTATTTTTCAGGTTTTGGAGGCTGTGGGCCCTATTATCTTCTTATCTACAGACACGAGGAAGCTGCGAAATGAGGGTTTTCTGAGTCCATTTCATCCTAGATATCCAGATATACTCACTAACTCGGCGCATCCAATGGTAACTGGAGTTCCTCTTTTGTTCACTGATATGCCTTCCACTTTGACCTTACATTTACCTTTGTCATACTGCAGAGAGCTCAAGACCTGGCAAATGTTACCTCCTACCGCGAATGGGTATTATTTGGATATTTGGTTTGTCCAGATGAGCTACTTAGAGTCACAAGCATTGACATTGCCTTGGTAACTACGAGACATTTCTTCTTTATCTGATGTGATTTAGTTTATATATTTTCATGAAATGTGTGTTAACTTATTTGTGTGCATTCAATAATTTTGTTACTTTGGTTTTCTAGAATTTGGTTCTCCATTTTGGCTAATAGATCTTTGTTTCTTATTTTCGTCCAGGTTGTGCTGAAGGAAAACCTAGTCCTGTCTTTATTCAGGGACGAAGTGAGTTTTTCTCACTTACTATAGATGAAATCTTTATTTCCTTGTCTTTCTCATAATAGTTGAAAAAAACTTTATCTAAGACCTTATCATGTGTTTTTCAACAAATTATTGCATTTTTTTGGAATCTTAGTTTGTTAATAATCCAAGAGTAGCAGAGCACTATTGATTTATCTATTATCTACTGTCAACATTATAAGTTTGCTAAAAAAAAATAAATAAAAAAAATTCGAAATATCAACTTACAAAATCATGAAATGCTTGGTCTCGGTTCAGGATTTAATAGTCTGCATTTTTTAAAACAAACATGTTCTATTTCTGCAGTATATATTGTTGCACGATGACTATCAGTTATATGTTTTACCACGGATACTTGAATCAAAGAAGTTGGCAAAGTCTGGAAGAACAAGGCAAAAGGAAGCAGATCTTGAATACAATGTTGCAAAGCAGGTAGAGAAAATGATAAGGTATTGATAAATTGAAGAAGTGTTTCTGAT